TAGTCTCAAATATCAGCCGAAATTATTTACTAATGGAGGAAGTGGAATTTTGAAGCCATATTATTTAATAGGGAATTACCTCCAAACCATGGCCTACATTCGATCTTGAAAATTGATCCCATTTGTTATTTTCAAATTTTCTGATGAAGAAAACCAAGATAACATCAATATAAATATCACCTTAATCACATACTGCGTAAGTTCTTTAACAAATTTTATCATGACACAAATTATGATAATATCGGATTTTCTAGTCTATTGACTCCATATTCGCTGGTAAGAATTTTTGATACTGAAGACTTCTCTTTGTTTCAAGAACGTGTTTAGTCTCACATACTTTACAAAAATTTTGATTTTTTTTAAAATATGAGTACAATAAAGTTATCATAAATATAATTATTATATAATTATTAGTATTATTTATTTCCTGGAGAGTAGAAATTATAACAGAGGTTACCGATGATTATAGCACATGGATGGCCCGAAAGGCCATCCACGTACTATGATCATCGGTAACCTCTGTTATAATTTTCCCACAGGAAATAAATAAATAATCCCCAGGAGCGTGTCACTAGATGCTAATCGGACTACCATACCATTATTTTTACACGTGTTCCGTATTTATATTCGTATTGTGCTTTACTAACTTTTGGGCTTCGTTTTATTTATTTTTTTTATTTACTTTTATCTTTTTATCGCCTTTGCTTTTTACTTCTACGTTTAACTTTTTTCAAATTCTTACTTTCACTTTGCACCTATCGTGCCTTTTTTTAGCTTCATTTTACTGTGCCTATTTACTTTGGCTTTTAAAGTTCTTTAGATAAAACATGACAAATACAAAAAAGAAAATGATTCAAATAAAAATTAAGCGTTAAAATTTAGAGTTTCCCGATGATCAATATGAGACCGGGAATCTTTCGTGGGAAGATTCCCGGTCATAATATGATTATTATAAATATGATTAATCATGTGTAAAAAAATAATGATGAAGGTAGTCATGAGTGATACTTAGTGCAACAGGGGATTATTAATTCAATCCGTGAGTATAAAGGTAGTTTATTAGATGTATATTTTTTTATAAAAAAAAAAATTTAAAAAAAAAAAATCCGGGTGGCCGGGTCAAAAATTTTATTTTATGTTATGTAAAACAAAAAAAATATTTTGAATGGCCTAATAACAACAACAACAACAACAACAACAACAATAATAATAATAATAATAATAATAATAATAATTTGAATATAGTTTAACAAATTCTTTGATTCTTATTCAATAGTGCCACGTTTTAAAAATAATATAATACATTGAATATAATAAACAAATAAGTATAAAAATTAATAGCCAACCAAATTTGTAGTTGCTGAAATCCTGACTTCTCATGAAGTACAATGCATAAAATTCTTTGACTACAATAATTCATATTTAAGTACTAATTATCATTTGCTTGATTTACTATTTCACTATCATAATTTTATAATTTAAATAAAAATTATAAAATTTTGATAAAATATTATTAAAAAGAAGTATTGAACTTGTTATAAGTGTAAAGAATGGAATACTACTAATAGTAACTACTTTGATACGATAAATAATCCAAAAAATTATATAAAAAAAAAATATTAAAATTACACAATATTAATAATGTGTATTTATAATATGCATAATACATCATACCTGAATAATTAAATGTGGAGTATCTTCACATAATAAATTGATAACTGTACTATAATAAATTAATTTATTAGCATCATCGGATAATGGAGCATTAAAAATTTCAAATCCGGCAATATTTGAAATCAAAAGATTTAAAACTTCAATATCAGTACTAGATAAAAGCGTACAAATCGATGCAATATTTAAATTATTTTTAAGCCAGTTACGAAATTTTAAATTGAATCGGATTTCACTTATAATAATTTTAACCGATAAACAAAAATTGAATATCAGAGATATTGTCAGGATTACAATACTGTATTATAATAAATTAAATAATATAATTTAAAACCTGCTATTGAATGAAATTTAAAATTTAATAACTATAAAAATAAACAAACCTTGGAATAAAGAGTGATTCAATATCATGACCATTATTGATAATAAAAATGATATCAATAATCAAGTCTAATAATATCAACGGAATTTTAAATACATAAATGTTATTTCCCTATAAGTAATTAAATGCACGTTAATTATTACTGATTATTATTATTATTGTTTGTGTAAAGTTTAATTATATTACCCTCATATTTTTTTTTCTAACAAAAAAATAAATCACACATAATATAATGAATAATATCAATGCTACAAGTAGTTCAACCTTAATTTCATCCCATAAATTCGCTAATATTTGGGTGTCGAC